CTTCGAAAAAATCAGCATGGCTGGAGCAAAAAATAAATGAATTATGTGAGGATGCAACTTTTCGGTATACGAAATAATTGAGGATTAGGCGAGATTGCAACCAGCCATATCTTACAGAAGCATCAATCCTAACCATAGCACCTAGTTTAGCAATCTATCTTGTTTTTTCAAAATTTTATATAATTAAAAGATCATCCGAAGAATTTGAATCCCTCCAGTAAAGCCGACAATTTCGAATAAAAACCAACCATCGGGTATGTCTGGATGGATGATTTGGTTTCGAAAATACTAAAAGACAGGATTTCAAAAGGAATATTTGTCATAATGTATTCGTAAAATGGCCTGACTGGATCGAACCCACATGTTATTTCGGTTGGGTTGTTCAGTCATAAACATGTAAACTTCACAGTTAATTCGCAGCCAATTCGCCTATTTGCAAGCATGTGGGGAAAGCCTGAAAACGCCAACTAAATCATGCGCTTACAGCCAGCCACTATACTCATCCCAGTGCCTGAAGAATCTCTCCTACAGAATGACATCATGCTCTGACGAGGCATACCACAACACATCTTCATCAGATTCACAAAATCCTGTACTGATAATACCATCACCCCGTGAAACATACCTTCAATTCTGCGTCTCGTAACTCGCTGAGCCAAGTAGGCAGAATGTGGACGATACTGCTGCGAGGGTCAAAACTTATGCCGTAAAACTCAGAGCGCTCCTCGCTGCTGAGGTGGGGAAGATCCTTTAGCACGTCGTCTTCCTCAAGCTCATCCTCCTCCTCGTTTTCGTTATTGGGAGAATCTTCCTCCTCATGTACGGCCGGTAAATCCATCTTGCTGAGGGTCACCTTCTCTTCTGAGCCTGCAGTCTCACCACTCGCCACTGTACCGCATGACGACTCGTCGGAGACCTCTTTACCGGCTCTCTGAGGGCAGTTGTTAAGCAAATGAGCCTCACTATCTCCACCCACCCAAGGCTTTAACTCGTTAAGTTCTGTCGATTTCTGTCCCTTGAACGACAGGTCGTAGGAAATGCTCATGGATTTGCCTCGTCGGCCGGGCCGCCTCACAGCCTGACTGTCCGAGCTCTCGGCTGAGCCGACCAACGCTTTGGCCCGACCGGAGCTTAGACGTCGGGACTCAAGCTGGCCGGAGTCGAAATCGGTTGGTACACGCAGCAAAAAGAGTGGGATGGCGCAGAGAAGAATGATAGTGCCTGAAAATAAAAGAGGGGAGGGCATACACATATATATATATACACAAGGACTATGCGAACATGAGTTCATGTTGGTATGGTACATTCAGTTGCCAGCGTAATTGCATCGCATCGAATGTAATATAACTGTGCACATGAAGGCATGATATGTAATATGGGGCAAAAGAGAAATTAAAAAAGGTAAAGTATTGGGCTTGAAGCAGAGTTTGTGAGGTAACAGTATTTTTTTCCGACATTCTGGAGGGAGAAAAGCGGACTATTGAATGGAAAAAGGAACAAAGTGTTCGAAATTCAGAAAAAAATCAACGGTTTGTTACATCAAGTGAGGAAATACTCTTTAATTCAAGAACGCTCATATATGCATGAAATGAAAACGGGTTGAGTTTTCGTCCATCATATAATAGGAGCTGGAATTATGATGATGTTCATCATATGATGGACGAAAGCTCA